GCGGTTCAAAGCCAGCCCGGGCAGGAGAGACCGTGAGACTCCTATCTCCAATAAACCACCAGAAAACCGGAAGTGGCGCTGTAGCTCAAGTGGTAGAGCGTTCGCCTTGAGCTGAAGAGCTGAGGGAAAGCGCCCAAGCCCAGAGTTCAAGCCCCATGGCCGACAAAAAATAAAAAAATAAAATCCCAACATTCCAGTGTTGGGATTTTAACAAATGTACTCAAGCTCCCAAGTTTGAGCAATTTTTGGGCTGTTGATGGGTAGGGGGTGGTGATGGAAGAGCTAAGGTGACAAGCCTCCCATATAACTGCCAAACAGCCACTTGATACAGGCCAGAAAGACTTCCAGCAAATCATACACAATGCTCCCAACCACAGAACACATACCGGCTTAGACAAGAAGGACTAGGCACACCCCCCCACCCCCACCCCCAGTTTAGAACATACCTCATACACAGATGGAGTTACATGACTTCACCCTGGATGCTGACAACTCTCAAGTCTGCCTCCAAACCAAGAAAGGTCCAGCCACTCTTATTTTTAGGATTTCTTAGAAAGATTTCCTAAGATCTCTATCCTGGACTCTCCTGGTTTGGTGGCCCATAAGCACAGGATTTGAACACCGAGGGCTTCTCAAGTGTTCCAAGGACAACCTAATTGGAGATGCTCTGAGAGGCATGGTCACCATCCCTAGGTTCTAGGTGAGTGTCAGGTGGGAGGCAAGATACTACATGGCCCTGAGGTGTAGAACTAGGACTGTTGAGGGTAGTTATGGAAAGGCAGAATTTAAATTTGACATGGGAGCCATGATGGAGCCATCCTCGAGGTGTGGCTGCTCAATAGTTTTGAGACTAGTCATCTTGGATGTTATCATGGGTATAAGGCGTCCCTGAAGGGCCTTGAAATAGGGACCACCATTCCTTAGAGCAAAGGGAGGGAAAGGTGATTCTCCCTTCTGACCAAGCCACGGGGCACGTGGCTGCACCGGGAGGCGCAGGGGCTGCCGCCTCCGACCCCAGGAAACTTTTGGTCCACCCGGTACATCAAGGGAATCCTCTGTAGTCATCCACTGGGTTCTCAGCAGAGACTTGGGACTCCATTCACGACATCCACGCCCTCCACTAGGGGTCTTGCGAGAGGAATGTGAGGGGCTGAAAACCTGCCTAGACGCCCCAGGAGGACGGAGAGAAAGTATGGGTGCCGAGGGCGCAGTGTTAGCAGAGAAGCCGCGACCAAATGGGAAGCGTGCAACGATCTTCGGGTCCGAGGGCGGTGACGAGGGGCCGCAGCATCCGTGACAGTCCCCACCACAGCAAATCAAGAGACCAGGCAGCGAGGCTCTGGGGGCTGCTTTTATGGGGACGACCTGACAGAGGGCATGGTCCGTACAAAACCGGGAACAATACATACATACATATATATATATATATTATATACAAAGACGGGGGTCCTCTTAAGGGCGGGATAGGGGCGCCGCAGGCCCGAGAAACCGGAAGCGCCCGGTGGCCCCGCCCACCCGGCTCCTCCCCCTCCATCTGCCAGGGCGAAGTGCAGGGCCGGGCACTTGAGAGTCAGCTCTTTCTGGAGGCGGGTGCGGGTGCGGGCGGGGCGGGGCAGGGCGAAATACTGATCAATGGCACCGCCTATTTACAGGGGACAAAAAGCTGAAACAGATGGAACGGAATTGTTTTCCCAAAAAAAAAAAAAAAAAACGAACAAAAGCCCTGGCTTGGGGCAGGGGCATAAGGAAGTGGCAAATGTGATGGATTTTGAAAGGTGCGGGGGAGGTCTCACCTCCCTTGGTCCAAGCCCCAATTTGGGGTTAAAGTGGGGAAACAGAGTCAATTTCACTTAGAAAGCAGACTGCCAGTAGGACAGCCCTGGTCTCCAAAAAGTTGAGTAGTAAAGTTTTGCCCGCCAGTCAAAACATGGGAAGAGTGCAGCGTGGGGAGAGGAGGCTGAGTCTCTGCCAAGTGAGTACAAGGCTTCCAGGGGTGGCCCTGGGCAGGGCGGGGCTCCCCAGCGAGAACCTTTGCCCTTGCTCTGCAGCCAGGCCCACTAAGCTGACCTCCCTCTCCACTGGCCAAGAAACCAGGACCCAGAGAGGCTGCAGAATAGTTCCAGGAGGAGGTTATGGCTATTTGGCACCTGGGAGAAGGGAGGCACGAGAAGTTGAGGGCTGCTGCCCTTTTCAGAAGAGCGGGGCTGGGGACCAGGTATCCTGGACTCTCCCTTTTTCTACTCTCAGTCCCCTTTTCCTGAAGGATGCATGAGAAATCAGTGCAGGGTCAGGCCCAGCCTCCTTGGGGGCTCTATCCCTCCCAGGATGGGGAACAGGTCTGGGAGGTGTTGAGCACCCCGCCTCCCCCCAAGCAGGAAGGTTAGAATGCAACAGACAGCACAATGATAGGAAAGAGGGAAGGGCCAAGAAGGTAGAACCTCAAGTCAAGAGGCCCAAGGGCTACCCAGAGCCCCATGGGCAGGGAGCAGCCTCCAGTTGGTGAGATGCTGGGAGAACCCCAGCCCCACTCCAGTCCAGAGACAAAGGCTGGAGGTTATAAAGTCTGGCAGTTTGGTCTGCAGGTCCTTGTGTCCATTCACCACCCAGGCCAGCCCTCGGCTTCCTTCAGCCTCTGTGCCTCAGCCCCATGGGGCAATGAGGCCACCCTTCCAGCCACCACTGACTACCCGGGCCACCATAAAGGGGCCTGTGATATGGGCCCTCTGGTCCCTGAAGCTGGGGGAGGTGGGGTGGAGGAGTTGGGGAGTCGGGGCACCTGTCCCCAGGCTGGTAAGGGGTGGGGTGGGGTACTGAGGACTGGGAACAAGGATAGTGGGAATTATTATTGTCCTGTCAAGGAATGATTCCTGTTAAGTAGAATTGGAATTCCTCAGTGTTTGTAGGTTTCCTTCCAGTTCTGAGATCTGGAAAACAAAGATGAGGAGGGGGTTAGGCCCAGCCCCTTTACGCCCTGATGAGGGTATGACCGTCATGGCCCCACCTGAGGATCTACCAGGTAGGTGCTAGACAGGCTCTTCTATGTAGCTCCCTGTGCAAGCCCTGCCTCTAAGGCACCCCAGGCCTACCTTGTCCAGGAGCTTGTCCATTTCCTCCTTCCTGGCCAGCTCCGACTCCTCCAGCACCCGACGCTGGGCAGTCTCCTTTTTCAGAAACTCAATCTCCCTGGAGACAGGCAAGGGCAGGCAGTAGTGAGTAAAAGGTGTGGTGCCTGGCCTCTGTGTGGGGAGAGGCAGGGTCTTCAGCAACACCTGGCCAGCACTGCTGTGCTCTCAGGTCAAGAGGTCTGAGGTTTCCCTGGGGCCTCTGAGATCTGGCCCTGTGCTGGTGGTGCTCTGCTGTTTAGGGCCCAGGGAACACTACCATGGGGCCTGCCAACCTCTCTGCTCTGTCTCCCTACTCAGCTGGGGAGGGGGGAGGACTGCCACTGAAGGCCTCCCAATCACCCTGGGCTTAGGACCTGCAGCCTGCCACGTACTTCTGCTGGTAGTCCTTGATGAGGCGCTTGGCCTTGCTGTACTTGCGCTCCAGGGCCTGGTATTGGGCCTGGGTCTCCCGAAGGTGCTCATCCACCGCCTGGCACAGGCTCTGCGCCTCACCCCAGTAGCCCTCTAGTTTCTCCATGCGCTCCTTGTTCTCTTCCACACTCTGCTCCAACTGGGCCTTCTCCACTCGCCAGCGCCCCTTCTCCTGCTCCAGGCTCTGCAGCTGAGAGGAAGAAGCAGCCCTAGGTTGGTGAAGGCCAGAAGGAGCTACAGATCCCCATCCTGGCACCAGGGCCACAGTCTTTAAGAGGTTCTTGTGGAAGTTGGGTCCATATCCCCAACCACTAGATCTCCTGTGCTGACCTGGGAATGGAAACCTTAGCCTCAGGGCTCCTAACCAGGGTCTCTCTCTCAGCAGTGTGTGCCCAGGAGGCCTCCATTAGTCACTGACTAGCTCTGAGACTTAGGGCAGGGTATTTTCTGCTGGCACCTCAACCCTCTCATCTGGAAAAAGCCAGTGGTGGGTAGTGAAGTGGTAAAATGGCAAACCACAGGACAGGTGAGGGTTGCCATTGCTCTGGGCCCTCTGCAGCCTTGACCTGTCAACCTGTCCCTGCTCCTGGGGCTTCCTGAACAATCTGGACCCTCTCCAGTATCCAATGACTTTGAACCTCCCAAAGGCTCAATCTGGATCCTTTGTTCTCTCCATAGCATTACTTGAGTGGAACCCTAACTCTGATACCACTTCTGCATTGATCCCCAAATTCCAACCTCCAGCACAGCCTCACTCCCAACTTTCAAGCCAGCTCATCAACACCATGCCCTAAACCAGACTAGCATCTGTACAAACCAATGTCTGCTTTCCTAACTCACTCATTTGTTAGATGGTGCTAGCACTTCACAGCCCCGGCACTCAGTCTCAAGCCCTTGCTAGCCTACACACGTGTTTGCTGTTAAAGGTCTGTGCCTCTATGACTAGCCAGAAAGGCCTTCCTGCAGACCCTCAGATTCACACAGAATCTCTGCATATGTCTCTCTCTTTCCTGGGAATGCCCATCTAACACCTAAACTTCTACTTCTCTGTGCTATGTATCACTTCAGATACTCCACGGAAGCTCTCGGGACTGCCCACTCCCAGCCAGAACAGGTCCTTAGTAACTGTGTCCTCTCCTCCAGAATCCCAAGTCAGGTTGTGACAGCAGTCACTGTTGTACAGGCTCAAAGCTGCCCAAGGGCAAACTCGATTTTGCCTAGCGCCATGACTGGAGCACTGCCAGACATCTAGAAGGTACTCAATGCATCTCTGTAAATAGAATGGCCCTGGTTTTCTGTGCCCCTGAATAGACCTTCACCTCACTCTGATTTGTGCCCTGGAAACACCCAGGAACATAAATGTGGCTCTACCCCACCCTTCGGCTGTGCTCAGGGCTTATCTGGCCTACCTTGCCCAGGTCTCTAGTCAATTTACCTAGCTCTAAGTCCTGCCCTCCCTTGTGCCCTCTCAGCTTCCTAAGCAGTGCTGGCTACCAAACCCCTGTGGCCACACAGCCCCACACTGTCTACAGGGCCAAGGCTAGAGTTCTTGGGGAGGGAGTCACACACTGACTGATGACTGTCAGCTGTTCAGACTGTCTCTCACCTCTCTCTAGCTACAACCTAACAGGCCTACTCTCAAAGCCAGTCTCCAAGCTCAAGTTCATCTCCTTGCCTTGAACATTCATCCTTTCTCTGCCCGCACAGAGGAAGTATATACACAGGTGTACCTGGATCCACCCAATCTGCATGGCCCCTGGGCACCTTCACTATGGAATCTATGGATTCTCATGCCTGCAAACATACTGGCAGCAGTGTGCTTGTGTGAATGTGGATTGTGCCACATGTCACAGCACCTCTATGTTGTAGGCCAGGTGGTCTGGATGACAGTCACAACCTGTATCTCAGTGCGCTTCAGGGCAGAGAGGATGTCTGTGGAGGTACGAGAAGCAGGAATAGGGCCCCAGTGATTGTATCTGTGCAGTGTGGGATATCTAGATGTCTGGGTGAGTGGCTCTGTGGGTATCATGGGTCCTGGCTAGCATGTGTCAGGGTATGTCCCGCTGAGTAGCACGGATTGATCCTTGGACCTATGCATGGAACACATGTAGAACAGTCCAGGTGCAGACCTGGAGAACAGGTCTTAGGGTGCCTCTGTGAAACACGTTTTTATTTTGGCCAGTCCTGGGGCTTGCACTCAGGGCCTGGGCACTGTCTCTGAGCTTCTTTTTGCTCTAGCACTCTACCACTTGAGCCACAACGCCACTTCTGGCCTTTTCTATTTATGTGGTACTGAGGAATCAAACCCAGGGCTTCATGTATGTTAGGCAAGCACTCTACCACCAAGCCACATTCCCAGCCATGCCTGACTTTTGATTGAGTAACTATTCTGTGCCTGGGTACTGTAGTAAGGATGCAGATGCAATTATCTCATTTAACTCACATGGCTCCTATGGTTTGGAGTATTTTACCTCATCTTAAAGGGGATGGAAGCCCAGATAAGTGAGTGATGGAGCAGCTCTGTATTGTGACCCTCATGTCCCAGTGGCCTGGTGAGTGCTGTGTGAGGGCCCCTCCCTCAAGCCTCTCACCTGCTCAGTGCACGCACAGGCGCACTTGTATAGGCATACTCACCTTGCGTTTCAGCTGCTGGATCTCTGCTTCAGTCACTGCGTGCTTGATCTGGAGCTGCAGGCAGAGGTTGGCACTCAGCTCCAGGGGGCTGAGATCCACCTGCCTTCGCTCACTACCCCAGGACCCATCTCCCACCTCCTTGAACTTGTGCACCAGCTTCTCGGGCTCCATGTCCACAGGAGACAGCGCATCCTCGTTCTCTGCCAGCTCGAACACCTCGATGGCCATCTCACCACCTGGGAATGTGGGGCTCAGCTCCTCTTCCTCGTCAGTGGCATATTCCCCTGTCTGTGAAGGGACACAGGCGGTGCGGACTCCACACACACACACACACACACACACACACACACACACACCACACCAACCCCTCAGCATCCCCATGACCAAGCCTAAGGCCAACAGCAGTTCATGTCAGACTAGGGGAGCCCTCAGAGATTGGTCCTCTGCAAAACCTTGAAGAAACAGACTGCACTATTCCCTATACAATATAGGTCTCTGCTATCTCACATTGAGGACTGTTAGAGAGAACTGAGTTCCTTGCAGGACTCCAAAGACAGACAGTGTGACTCCATGAGATAAGGGGTTCTCTGAGGGAAGGGTCTGTTTCTCTTGTTGTGTTTTGGGCTTCTTTACCAAGCCTGAGAAAATGGTAGAAGCTGATGGCTGCGCTGCCTGCACTAGCCACTAGAGGGCAATCACTGTACCAGCTAGACTGGGAGTCCTACCTCATCATCGTCCTCCCCATACTGGGCATATCTTTGCTCCATCATCTCCCGCTGCCATCGCTCTTGCTCCAAAGTCTGCTGAATTAACTGAGCCACTTCACTCTGCTCTCCAGGCCGTTCCCGGCCAATCATGAACCTGCAACAGCACAGATGTCATCCCTGCCTGTCATCCATAGGGAATACCACTACCTTCCCTGCTGGTAGACCTCTCTCCAAACACAGGCCCTCCCAGGGGAGGTGAACTGAGAGGCTAAGTCCAGAAGCTGTAGTATTAATAATGGATAGGAGTTGAGACATTATCATATTCCCCCTAGGGAAAGCAGGAAGGCCTGCTAGCCCTCCTAGACAGTTTTGGGATGGTCTGCACAGGACATGAGCTCAAGGACTGCCAGGGTAAGGGGCTCTTCCTCCACCATGTGGGTGAAAAAGAGGCAGGGATGGCAAAGGTGACCCATATTGGCTTTGGAGGAGGGTCTTGGGTGAGCTCCAAGCCCTGTTTCAGGAAGGGGAGGGACGATGGAGATTGGAGATTAGTATGGAGAGGAAACAGTGGAACTTCCAGGCCCCAGCCCCTCCTCCCCAGGGCCACCCACATCCTGTTTCTCTCCACCACCCTTTCCTGGGGGCAGTGGCCCTCTTTGAGGGGGGCAGGGAGCAACCCCTGAGTGCTATGCCAAAGGTAGAATGCATGCAGGGAGCTTCTACTCCATGTTCTGTTCTCGGGGACCGTGTACATGGACTGGTCAGAAGAGAGGAATGAGGTTCTGGGTAAGATAAACCCAACTGGTTGGCATTCACATTACATACCTGGGTTCTTCAATAAGTGAGCCAGAAAAGGCAGAGGGAAAGGAGGATAAGCCCAGGAAGATGAGGGGGGTGGGGGAAGGCATGACCAGGGGCCTAGAAGCAGGAGTACTGTGGCCACAGCCATCCCCTCGGGCAGAGCCAGATGTGGGCAGGAGGCATGGCAGCCAGCCACCTCCCTACTTGTCTGCCCCAGAACTCTCACCGCACGCGGCCCTTGGTGTTCCTGAGCACGGAGGCTGCAAAACTCTGGGTCACTCCCACCAGACTGGTTCCATCCACCTCCACCAGGAGATCATTCACCTGGATCCTAGGGAGGTGACATTGGTTATGGGATCATAAGACAATGGTTACGGGGTCATAAGACAACCTGTCCAGTTGAGGCAGAAGATACCCCGCCCACTGGAAAGTGCAGGCCCAGTCCCACAGCGATCCAGTACTTTGTTTACAGGCATAATATACATGAGGCCAGCTAAAGCAAAAGCCAGGCCCACCTGTGTGGGCAGAGAGCTCAGTGCAAGCCAAGCAGACACAGGCTTCCAGGAGCAGGACAGCTGGCAGGCTTGCTTCCTGTAACACTCACATACTTGTCCCCTCTTCCATCATACTCAACTGAGCAGTTGGACATCCCCAGAATTCATCTCTCACGCACATATGTGCCGTGTCACCATGCTCTTAAACGGTTCTGCCTGAATCCCTAACTGCCCCTCTCTGGCTCACACACTGGCTCACATACTGCCACACCCACACTCCCCACACACTCCAGCTGTGGCTCCTAAAGCTTCATCCCTCATACAAAGGGGAAGACGTGTATGCATCTGGCCTGCTAAGGAAGTGGAGGAATCCTAGCATACCTCCTTCCTCCTCTCCCACCTCCTGGGAGCTCCAGGCCTAGACCTGGGGCTCCATATGACAGTGGATACGTGGCCTGTTGTAAAGGTTCACTCCCATAGCCCATACTCGTATGTAAAGGGTTCACCCCCACGTCCCATACACAAGCCAGGAAGCACCCTCATCATGCATACTTTCCAAGTCAACAGGTGATAGTGGGAAGGCTCTGGAAAGGGAGAGAAGGGGATAAGAGATAGTTTCAACCTTTCTGTTCTCTGCCCCGCTCCATGCTGCCTGGCCACAGCACACAGAAGCCAACTGAATAAAGAAACCATGCCTCTAACGTGACCTCTCTGGACCCTCCTGAGGAGGGCTCTGTAGCCTCTTCCCCCCTCCCCTCTCCCACTGCAACACACATACAGCTGAACAGCTGGTGGAGGGTCACTGGCTGGCCCAGAGCTCCAGAACACCTTTCCTGACCCTCTGATTCACCCTTATAGACACAGATGTTCAACCCAGCACATGGACAAACACCTGGCTTCAGAACACACCCCACCCCCCAACAAGGCTAGTCACATCAACGCCTGCATCCCAGCTGTCTGCACCCCTGACCATATCTCCTCCTTACCATATCTCCTCTTTCAGCTCCTGGCCTGAAGTCTCTTGTGCTCATTTGGCTTAGCTAACTCCTGCTCAGTTCCAGTGTCACTTCATCCAGGGAGCCCTTCCCATACCCACACAGGTCAAGCCCTCCTGTTTGTGCTTTATGTATTTTTCCTCCATTCAGCCACTTTCTGTGTGTCCCCTGTCTGGTGTCTTTCTGCCTCACTACACTGCCTGCTTCCTGAGGGCAAGGCCCTTGACACCAACTCCCCAAGCCTGGCATCAGCCTAACAACAAAAGGGAAGGAAAGCTCAAATGTGCTTCACAGAGCCCATGCTCCCTGCCAACGCCCACATGCCCCAGGCAGGGCACATGGTACTAGGTACAGTTCCCATTGTTATCCTTGGAGGGGTTCCACCTGCTGTTCACAGCTGTAACTCCAGAGCCTGGTGCTCCCCGAACACTGGAAGCCACACACCAGTCTCCCAGGGAATGGGGGAGTGCTCTGGCTGCCCAGTGGCTGCGCTGTGACAGCTGTGCAGCATGAGGCGGGTAAGTGTTACCTGCCATCCCGATGGGCAGCGCCACCCTCAGTCACGGTCTTGACGAAGATGCCCAGCTTCTCCAGGCCCATGTCGGCCCCGGCTCCCATGCCGATGATGCTGATGCCTAGACCCTCGGAGTCTGTGGGGCAGAGGAGGAGACGCAGGGGCTGGCAGGAGATCCTCTCCCATCCCTTACCCTTGGGGGCAGTCCCCAAGACTTGGGGATATCCCACAGGGGAGGAAGGGGCACACCCCTTCCACACCCTACTTGCCAGGCTAACTATGCTGCCTTGTGGGTCACCTTTCTGTTCTTGGTCCAATCCAAAGAGCAGATAGGAAGCAGGGTATGTCAGGGGTAGCTGGGTGTGACTGTATTGCATATATAGATAAGGGAATGTGGCTGGGACTAGGACTGCGACAGGACTTGGCCCTAAGCCTTTTGGTCTCCTCCCAGCAGTTTCTACACTTAGAAGCTTCCATAGCTAGAGCTTACTGACCTGTTTTTTCTCCCCTGAGGCTCACTGCCCTAGCCACACCTATCCTGCAGGCCATACCTGCCTCTGCCAGTCTCCTGGCCATCTGGCATCCAAACCTATGACCTTGCTTATAAAGACTCCTTCCTGGGGCTGGCACCACCAGCTGCTGTCTGCCAGACCTGGGAATCACTTAGATTCTACCCCACCCCCACAGCCTCCACAGAGCCAAATAAGCACAGGTCCTGGGGATTCTCCAATCCAAATCTACCCAACTTCTGTTCTACCAATACCTTGTGTGTAGTCTGTACCACAGTGGTCTTCTTCCCACTCTGACCCTTACCTTGAACTGTAGCTAGTGTGATTTTTTTTTGCAAGCCCTGAGGCTTGAACTCAGGACCTGAGCTGCTTTTTTTTTTTTTTTTTTTGTCAGTCTCGAGGCTTGAACTCTGGGCCTGGGTGCTATCCCTCAGATCTTTAGCTCAAGGCTAATGCTCTACCAGTTGAGCCACAGCACCACTCCTGGTTTTCTGAGTAGTTTATTGGAGATAAAAGTCACAGCCTTTCCTGCCTGGGCTGGCTTTGAACCAGGATCCTCAGATCTCAGCCTCCTGAGTAGCTAGGATTACAGGGTGAGCCACCATCCCGGGCCTTGAGCTTCTTTTGCTTAAGGCTAGCATTCTATCACTTGAGCCACAGCACCACTTCCAGCTTCTTCTGTTTATGTGGTACTGAGGAATTGAACCCAAGGCTTCATGTATGCTAGGCAAACACACTACCACTAAGCCACATTTCCAGCCTTAATTGTTAATTTTTTTTTTTGATCGGTCATAGGGTTTTGAACTTGGCCTGGGTGCTGTCCCTGAGCTCTTTTGCTCGAGGCTAGTGCTCTACCACTTTGAGCTACAGCCCCACTTCCCCAGTGTGATCTTTCTAGAACATCTTTCACACTTGCAATGGCTGCTAATCCATCTCAGAAACTTTCTGACCATGTCCTTGCCATGGTCTATGTGGCCTTGGTCCCATACCCTTCTTACACTCACTATGTAAAGGCAGCCATCCGTGTCTACCCTATACACCTAAATTCCTCATCATCAGAGATCCATGGGAGCATTGCTTCCTTGGGAACTGCCCTAGTCTGGCCAGGCCCCCTTAAATGACTTAACTTCAAAGGCAGCCTCCTTTCCCTTTACATACCTCCGACAGCATAGACAAGTTAGAGTGTCTCCAAGGAGATCGCCCCCAGGGAGGCTGGTTTTGCCTATCACCATTCCTACAGGAATGTGCACAGGACCCGTGCACACTGCTGGGGAGATAGGGTAACTAGAGGTGCAAATAGTGTTCCATGCAGGGTGCACAGTGGCCATGTACTGGAGCTGGGCTGAATACACGAGGCACTGAGGACTAATGGAGAAAGCCCAGCATGTGACAGGGCAAGTTAGACACAGGTACCCGCACGAGGAGCCTAGACAAGCCCACTGACCAGAGTCTGATCTCTCACCCTTCTCCAGCTCTACAGGAAACAGCTCCAGCCGTTCCACCCGCTTCTCCAGCTCATACTCTGCAGAGGCAGCCATAGGGTCCACATCCTCATTGCGGCGGTCATAGTCCTCATTGGAGTAGGTGCTGAATACCTAGGGAGGAGCAGCTTGTCAGAGGCCAGTGGGAAAGCAAGGACAGAACTGGAAGGGGAAGGCTGAGGGGGAAGGCGAAGCCCTGCACCCCTCCTGCCACAGGCCTTGCCCCCACCCCTGCCTTGCAATGACCATGGCTCTGAACAAAGGCCTTCCTAGTTCTGGAGCTCAGAGGGCTGGAGCAAGGCACCCAGCTTGGCCTGATCCATATGGAAGCTCACCCAGCAGAGCATGGTCTGGGCAGGAATGGACGACCACTCCTGGGAAGACTGCCAGGTGCAGGAATCTCAACACCAGGGCAGAGAGAAAGTGAGAGACAGGACCTGAGAGCAGACAGGCGAGGATGGACACAAAGGCACACACTGTACACACACACAGGAACAGGCTGAGCAGCAGAGGGGAAGAGGAGGAGGGGACAAAGGATGAAGATGCTGCATGCCAGATGGGGAGAGGGGAGAAAGGGGGAGGAGTGCAAAGGGATAGAGAGGCAGAGAGGCAACCCCCTCTGTCCTGCACCTGAAGTGAATCGATAAATGGGTGTTAGGGGCCAAAGGAGTGGAAAGGACTCCCTCAGAGAAGGGAAGCCCTCTGCTCATGGGAGCCCCTCATGTGGCAGGAACAGGGTCAAACCTGAACCCCCATGGCCCTGTGGTAGATCCAGGTCTGTATCCCTGGAGAATGGCAACTCTGAGTTATACCCTCTGTCTACAACATTAGGAAGCCAGTGTAGAAGCTCCTGGTTCTGTATCCTAGAGGGACCAAGGATCCTGGAGAAGTGGCAGCCTCTCTGCCCCTGTCATAACATCCCTTGTCCTTCTAGATCTCCAGTCAAGGGGAATTTTCTGGTCTCATCTCTCCAACTGACCAGAAATGATGAAGCTGGGTTCTTTATTTTTATTTTTTTGTCAGTCGTGGGGGCTTGAACTCTGGGCCTGGGCGCTGTCCCTCAGTTCTTCAGCTCAAGGCTAGCGCTCTACCACTTGAGCCACAGTACCATTCCTGGTTTTCTGAGTGGTTTATTGGAGATAAGAGTCTCATGGACTTTCCTGTCCTGGCTGGCTTTGAACCACGATCCTCAGATCTCAGCCTCCTGAGTAGCTAGGATTTTTTTTTTCTTTTTTGTTCCGGTCGTGGGGCCTGGGCGCTGTCCCTCAGCTCTTCAGCTCAAGGCTAGCGCTCTACAACTTGAGCCACAGCGCCACTTCTGGCTTTTTTCTTTTTGTTTATGTGGTGCTGAGGAATCGAACCCAGGGCCTCGAGCATGCAAGGCAAGCGCTCTACCACTAAGCCACCTTCCCAGCCCAAGTAGCTAGGATTATAGGCATGAGCCACCAGCACCCGGCAAGGCAGGGGTTCTTTAGGGGTGCTTAATTCTGGGTCCAATGGGGTGCCCCCAGTGGGTGGTTAACAAGCAAGCACCATTTGGGGTACCATGACTTGTTCAGCTTCACTGCCGGCAGCGACAGGTTGGCACCACTTGGAGCCAAGCGGAGGCGGAAGGGGTGGGAGCAGCTCTATCAACTGGCTGGGCTTGAGGCCTAGGAAGCTAGAATGGAAAACTGCCCCCTCCCCCAAGGGTACTCAGGGCCCCCTCCACCCCAGAAGCAGGCTCATAGGCATCCTGGCAAGCAGGGCACTCACTCTTGTGTCCCAGACTTTGTTTGGACTTGCTCCCAGTCATCCCCACCCCCATCCCAGAGGCTCAATCTCATGGTAGGAGGGGGACAGGGCACTCAGAGGACGAACTAGAAGCATGCTAGGAGTGATCTGTGTAGTCACCTGCTCATGTCCTGAATCACATCCCATTCACAGGCACTGGTGCTCAGGCCTTTAAAGGCTCACCCAGCCCGAGTAATGGTTGGTGGACATCAACACCAGCTGCTGAGAGGCTCAGGTTACAGACTGGGGTCCATTGCCTGAGGTCATAGGCTTAGCCAATGGCAGGGTAGGATGGGATGACATTCTGATGAGCTCTGGATGGTAGGTCACCAGTGATTTTTGTCCTCACTGTACAATGCCCCAGGCTTTGGGACAGGCTGGCATGAACCGGAACTAGCCTTGGCCCACTTTTGCATCTGAGGTCCCACTGAAGAGAGTATTCCTCCCCATCACCACACACAGACCCACATGCCACTGTGACCTCCAAACCACCCGGCTTGTCCTGGGCCTGTCATCTCCTCTCCTCAGCTGGTCAAATACTATTCACCTTTTCTAGCCTACCCTCTCCAAGAATCCAAAACCTCAGGCTCAGAGGATCTAGACCACTGATCGCCCCTCTTGTCAAAAGACCCTGGGCCCAGCCCTGCCTCCCCAAATAACAGGCTAGAGTTGAGTTCTTGACCCTCTGTGGAAGCCTCCACCTCCATCCATCAAATGACAACGGGGTCATGGGGGGAGAGGGGGAATCCTGGGCTCATCAATGTAGGAGTGGGAGCAGGGGGAAGACCATCTCTCACCACCCCCCCCCCATCTCTGTGCTGGGGTAGAAAGGAGGAAATCCCTAGCAAATCCAAAAGTCAGACACTCAGCTGCCCCACCCGCTCTGGCTCTCATACTGGTAGCCAGCTTCAGTCACCAGGGAGTTGGGAGCACTGCTCCAAATCATGTGCTATTTTTTACCAAAAAAATCAGGGTAAGGCGTCAGATATAGACAGCCAGAGGCCAGACCACACTCTCTCTCTCTGAGGGCATCAGGCTGCTGGGAGAACTGTGGGGGCAGGGTGGGGACTGCTGGGCCCTCCCAGGAACACCCATCTTCCTTCTAGGATGCCACTGCCCACAGAGGGGGCAGGGGATAGAAAGGGCTCCAAAGTCCCCAATCCGGGAAAGGGTTGCCTGGGAGGGGAGCTGCGGCCACCTTCTTTTAACCTTTCAGGCCTGGACTGGGAGGTAGAAGAGGGCAGAGGGTGAGACACTCATAGTTGGGATCAGAGAGAAACTTGGGCAGCTTCAGTGTCCAGGAGTAGTTATGGAAACTCCAAAGCAAACAAATTGTTGGGAAGGGCAAAGGCTGGGCAGGATCCAAGGCTAAGGAAAGTCCTGAGACCTTGACACTGCTGTGGGGAAAGGAGAGTGTGGGCACAGCAGAGCCTGGGACAGGAAGAAAGGACCATCAAGGCCAGTGTGCCAGCTGAAAGAGGAAAGTGGGGAAAAGGAGTAGTGCATGCTGGTTTTTAATTCTTCCCAGGGGACATCCTCTCCCCACCCAGTTCTGTTCAGAGCATCTCCAGGCACTGACCAGCAAGGCCCACAAACCAATCACCAAATAGTGTGTGTGGTGAGGAAGATTATCCCCCCCCCAAAAAAAGGACAGCTTCCACCCTCTTTCAGGATACCTAGAGGATGTGGCAAGAGCTGTTGGGGCCTGCCAAGGCCATGGGAATCTGTCCCATTGAACAGCTAAGAGCAAAGGCATGCGGGCCTCTGCCAGGCACCCAGGGACAAACTCCTGGTCTCACTCTGCCTCACTCCTCTCCATGGCCTACAGAATGCCTACCCTCTCCTGGGCCAAAAGGCCCTCTCCTTGTGCAATGAGAGACCTGGGAAGTTAGCCCAGCACAGACCCCAGGAGACCGGGCCTTTCTCCCAGCCCATCACATGGCCACAGCCAAGTTCACCCTCTCTCAACCTGCTTCCTCCTTTCACTTCTGCAAAGTTGGGGTGGGGGCACAAAGAGGGAGGAGGCAAGGTCCACCCCCTCCCCATACCTTTGTTTTAGGAAGTTTCTGGCTCCCTATCCACCCCCACTCACAGCCAGCTCCCAAATATGGGAAAGCAGAGAGTAATTCAAAGCCTGGACGCCCCCCCACACTGCCCCCAGGACAATGTGGGGAGTCTTTTGAGGACACCCACATCCTTCACACCACCCTAGCCTAGGGCAGCCTCTGGAGGAAGCAATGTCTGGGAGAGGCAGGGAAGCAGGTGTCCCAGGCCAGGCCAGGGGCAGGTTGGGTGGGGCGGCGCTGGGCGGGGCGGCAGGCTCGGGGAACCTGAGGGCAGGTCGCAGCAGGCTGTCCCAGACCTGAAGCCCTCCCCGCACTGACAAACAGCTGGAACTCCCCGACGCCCCCCACCGGGAGGAACTTCTGGGAAGGGGGCTGGGTAGCCAGGGCTGACTCAGCCTGCCGAACCTGGCTGGTGAGGCGGGGGCGACACGGTGCACGTGGCCAGGGCGGCGTGGGGGCAGGCGGGGGGGGGGCGGGGGGAGGGAAGAGGCTCACTCACTTGGATGGGCGCCGTGCTGAAATGGATCTTCCGGCTCGGGGCCGGGTCCTCTTCCTCCGAGAGCCCCGGGATCTCCACGCACCCAGACTCGGGCTCATAGGGGGGCTCTGCGTCCTCTTCATCTTCCTCATCGTCCTCCTCCAGGGCACTGCCCCCAGAGTCCTCCCCAAGCCCACTGTAGGCGCTCACGTCCACCAAGTCCGCCTCCGAGAAGTCCTCCTTCTTGGACTCGTCGGCCTCCTCCGGGGCCACGTCCGGGGCCCGGCCGTTTCCCACCCCCCTCTCTGGCTCTGCCACCGTCGCCACCTCCTCCTCGGGGGCCGCTTGGGCCTTGGGCTCCTCGGGCGCGGGGCTGGCTGTGGTTGCCGAGGTGCTGCCATTCTCCAGGGCCGCGTGGACCGTCACCTCGGCCTGGATCACTTCCCCGGGGGCAGACTCGGCCTCCGAATCCCCGCTCTCCTCCACCTCCACCGGCTTGATCTTCCGCACCTCCCGCGGCTTGGGGGGCGGCCGGGCGGGGGCCACTCGGTGCTGGGGGGGCTGCTGCCCTCCGGGGCCACTCCGCTCCTTGTCGGTCGGGGCATCTCCCGACGGGGCGGGCGGGGGCGGGGGCGGCTGGAACACCCGGGATCGCTTACTGACCAGCTTCGAGTTGACCTGGGCAGCCCCTGCGGCCGCAGCCCGGGGAGGCCCGGGCCCTCGGTGGAGGCCGGTCCTCGAGTCGGCCTTCTCGAAGACGGCGCTGAGCTGGCTGACCGTGGGCGACACGGCGTCGGCGTCCAGCTTGTCCAGCGCCTCGGTGCTGCCGTTGAAGCGCACCACGACGTCCAGCTTCCGGTCCTGCAGGCCGGCGCGCTCCTGCCGGAGCAGCCGTCGCGCCGCGGCCTCCTTGTCGCCGGCGGCGGCCGCGGGGCT